TAGCGAAGGAGTTATGTACGTTTTCGTTAGAGTTTAGATTGTGGAAAGGTTTATTGTATCTTCTTCATGAAGATCTTATTTTTGGCTAAGCTTTTTTCTATTAGAAATAAATACATTTCTCTTTTTCGCCTACTTTTACAAATTTTATTATCTACCTAGATCCTACCCTTTAGACATAAGGCTTTTCTTAATCACAATTTTGGTGCCTGAAAAGCTTACTAGCTACTACATTAATGTTCAGTGGTGCCTTCACGACGTTTCCTCTCCCTTTACTATTTGTGTATTGTCAATCACATCTCTAGGATTTAGTTCCTTTTCATTCGGATCTTTGGATATGAGTTGTTGATTATGTGAATTCATACATCGCCTTCCATATCATGCTAATAAACTGAGCATGTGCCACTTCATTTGGCAATTATATTTTTTGAGAATATTGTAAGTTCCTTTTGGTTCGAAATATGTTTTACTTGTAAAGATTTTTGACGAAATTTATAGCATTATTTGGCGTCTGTCACAGCTGGCCTTGAAGACGAAGTAGGGACAAAGACAACTTCCCACAAAATGTCATGATGAGAAAGATGAAGATGAAAGTGCTGACAAAAGGTAGCGGCAATGCAAACTGGGAAGAAGTGCATACGTATCAAAACATTTTCAAAATGTAACATCAAATCTTTCAGTATATATGGTTAAAATGATAAATACAACATCTCAAAAAAAGGGAAAAAACCCGCGGCGTAAAACGGGTGATCAACTAGCGACAAGAACAATCAAAATAATTTGTTATTAACAACTTTTAAAACAAACCCACGCGTAGCGTGGGTATTTATCTAGTTGTAGTAAAAAGTGGATATTAAACCTCTTTGTTGAACCTCTCAGTAGCAGATTTTTCGTTTGATGCTCTAAGAAGAAGATATAGTTTCCTCAAGTTTGGTGCAACCTTAGTATCTTCTCCACAAAAACTGCATACAAGTTAAAAGAAAGCTAACATAAAAGTTAAGAAAAACTAACAATACTTATTACAAATTTCAAAAGAAAAAAAAACAATATTTATTTGAAGTTTAATGTATATCTTCTTGATAAACAAAAAAGTTTTTATTTTATTTTTGAACACATGTCGATCCAGCTGCTTCGATGTTGATATTGCTTTCATCCTCTTTATGAAATTGACTCTCTTTTTCTGAATGAAATTGACTCCACGCGCAGTTATTTCCTACTATTAAAATTAACCCGAGAGGTGAATTTTTTTTAAATGATCTAAATCCAATCGACAACAAAAATAACACGCTACAAGGACACATTTGTACATTCTTACGACCTTACATTACTAATCCGATGATCTACAAAAATACATGCATGCATGCAATTAGTTTTACAAAATTTCCGATAATTGTACGTAGCAAACTGTATCCACAAATGTTTATCAACTCAGTGGTACTTTCCTAACAAATAAACGTGTTACTTATTTAATAAATATATATGACCATAATTAATTCAAAGGAATTGTTAGCAAATACCCCTTAAAACAAAAACTAATTAATGGACGTTACAAAATGTTAAGAAGCGTTATTGCCAATATATCTAAAGACAGTTAGACATAGAGATATAGATCAGTACTCTTTCCTAAGAAGCCAGTAGCTCCGATCACCAATATAGATTTGTTGTCAAGATACTGAAGAACACTTACGATATCTCTTTCTCGGTCCACATTGTATATATGCGTTTTAAGTGAGAAAATAATAGGACAACTAAATTATGTGGAGAGGTCAAGAGTTATAATCGTGTCTGTCTTCTTTATAAAGGCAAACACTAACGTCATAAAAACTAAAAAAAGACTTCTCATAAAACTAAGAAAATAAACCAAAGGAGCACACAATGCACAAGACCACCGATCACTCGAAGAGAGGGCTACTGCTTAAAACTCAACCGGCTTTCTCCACCTATCTCCGAACTCAACCGTCTTATATGCATCAGCTTCGCCGCTTTCCTCAGCATCTCCGATGTCTCAGATAAGGACTGAAGTCTAAAAAGCCACGTCTCAAAGAGGGTTTAATGATATAGGTAAAGAGATGCCGAAACAAGGGACGAATCACCTTCTTGAAAGCTTTACCGGAAAAAGGAGAAGTAGAGTCTCCTACGGCAAGGCAGAGACTCGAAAACAAAATGGGATCAAATTTATGTGGACAAAGGTTACATTAAATGAATTTTGCTGCAAAAAGTTTCTCTAAGAATCAAGGTCTTCGACTTCTATTTGTTCTATGCATCATTTAGTATGTTCATCTTTTAGTAAGCTTGAAAGAATAATTTAACACACCAATGAACAAAATTGCATAACTACATCTTTTTTTCAAAAGATGTAGGGTTAGAGTCTCTCCGAAACTTGAATCTGACAGCTGAAATCTGGAAAACAAAAATGTGTTGCCTAACAAGTGATCGATTTCCTTATTTTCCTTGTTTTTTTTCCGGTTTGCATAAAATAAAACTTCAATCTTAGTCTAAACACTTTTTATACCTGAAACGACACAATAACTATTAAAAAGACTCGATAAAACATTGATTTCACAATGAGAAGTATAGTCAAAAATGGTAAATATACTAACACATCATATAATAGCTAGCAGATTTCTAACAATAATTAGTCGCATTCAACACAATTAACTTGCAGGCAAGATGGACATTTTCGAGCTAGAGGTTGCGATAAATTAATATTGAGATAAAAAAAAAAGTTATCATTGAAGTAGAAGGTAGCTAAGAAATGTAGACTACACTAAAACCTCTATAAATTAATAGTGTTGGGACCGTGAAATTCTATTAATTTATAAAAGGTATTAATTTATAGAGAGTTTCGGCTAATTTTGTAATTTAAAAAAGCTTTTTGTCTGAAATTGCTTTATAATCATTATTTTCTAAACCAGTTACAAAGAATAAAAAATTATTATGTCTAGATAACAACAAAAAAAGTTTTTGATGTAGTAAAAATGTTAAAAATAAACTTTACCTAAAATTAGTGTAAATTAAAAGAAAAATGAAAAATACTTGGGGTGAACCCTTATATTCACCCATTTTATTTCAGCCAATCAGAATCTGCCACCTAATAATAATAAAAAAAATTATTTAATTATAAAATCTAATTTGCCACTAAAACGAAATTGTGTATCGGTTTGGGTTTATTCCGAAAGGGTTAGGGTTTAAATTTTATGATTAAACGAGGTTAAATATCGGTTTGGGTTTATAAACGGATTTAGATTTTACGATTAAACGAGGTTAAATATCGGTTTGGGTTTAGAAAGTACGATTAGGGTTTAGATTTTATGATTAAATGAGGTTAAATATCGGTTTGGGTTTTAAACAGATTTAGATTGTACAATGAAACGAGGTTAAATGTCGGTTTGGGTTTAGAAAGTACGATTAGGGTTTAGATTTTTTACGATTAAACGAGTTTAAATGACGGTTTGGGTTTTACAAAGGAGAATTAGGGTTTAGATTTGTAATTAAACGAGATTATATATCGGTTTGAGTTTACAAAAGAGTGGTTAAGGATTAAATTTAATAATTAAATGATTTTTTTTTATTATGTGGCGAATTTTGATTGGTTAAAATAGAAGGGGATGAATAAAAGGATTCACCCTTAGGGGTGAATCCAAGTATTGCTCAAGAAAAATAATAGCAGAGTCATAATTCACTAAATATTTTACATTATAATATATATAAAGATATTACGAATTGAAGTTTATACAATTATTAATTTATGATATTGATGGGACCATATGTTTACATAAGAATTTCAAAAAAATTATTATTTTATTAATTTATCGATTTAAGTCATTTTTTACATTAGTCCCAACTCGGGATCCAGAGAATTTATTAATTTATAGAGATTATTAATTTATTGAGTATTAATTTATAGAAGTTTTACTGTATATTGTACTCATTATTATATGAAGAACAAACAGTATATACGCGTTTGGGTATTCGGTTCGGTTCTAGAACCGAACCATTCGGTTCTAGAACCGAACCATTCGGTTCTAGAACCGAACCATTCGGTTCCTAGTATTTTGGTTCTGAGATTTAGGAACCATATTGGAACCAAATCAAAATCGGTTCGGTTCCTATTCGGTTCGGTTCGGGTAATAAATTTTGGAACCGAGTAGGAACCAAATTGTTTCGGGTATTTTTTAAACCGAAAATAATAATAGAATCACAATGCAAAATTCAAATGCAATTATGTAAGTATACAATACAACATCACATATTAGTCATTATACCATTACAAATCCAAAAAATAGTTGAAACTTGGAAAGTATTAGGTCAAAAGATATCCAAAGTTTTAAAGATACCACAAAACACAAGAGAGAGTTTTTGTCTGCTCTCTGTCTTTGAGAAAGAGAGAACAAAGTAGGGTTTTTAGGTTTGGGTGCAGAGAGGAATATATAAGAGGCTAAGAGAGACTTTGTGTTAGGTTTATGGTAGGCTATTGGGCTTGGGTAGTTAGGTTTAGGATTTGATGGGTTTGGAACTTTGGGTTATATAAATATAGGTTAATGGGCTATATTTTTCAGGTACCCGAATGGATATCGGTTCCTACCCGAACCGAACCGATACCCATGGATATTTGATTCAAGATCCAATCGATATTTTCACTAGAACCAGAACTGAACCCATCAATTTCGGTTCGGTTCGGTTCGGTTCTATGTGGATCCATATTTTTGTCCAGGCCTATACCGACATGTAATGATGAATATGAGAATATCATGGTCTTAGCAAGTACAGTTGTCGTTGCCAAAAAAAAAAACAAAGCAAGTACGTTGGCTTAGCATACTTAATCACATATATATTCCTTGGGCCAGAATAAGAAAAATATACGAATAATATATAAAATCATTTGAAGACATACTTAATTAGCCCAGGAATATGTGTATACACAAAATAGTCGTCCCAATTGATAATCTTCGGATCAAAATAGAAAATGTCGGTCTCCACTCCTGTCACTGGCAATAGTTTTTGCAGTTCTTCCGTATTTATATCATCGAATCTGCGTGTATATGTAATTTAGTTATTCGAATATCTATATGCTACATATATGTAACTGTAGTGGGTCAGGTCAAAAGGAGAAAGCCAAATTGAGATTAGAAAAAAAATAACACTTACATTCCATAGAAAAAGAGGTAAGGCTGGTAGAGATCGACAAGCCGCAATACAAAATTTATCTTCTTACTGAGATCCCTAAATTTCTTCTCTAACGACTTACAAAATACCATGTTCAGTAACTCAAGTCCCTATAGACCAGAATAAACCATACATATAATTAGGAAATTGCTGATTATTCGAAATATAAATTTAAATCATGGCAAATGGTCAGAAACATTACCTTCAAAGGAAGTAGATAATGAATGGTCATGTATCTATGGAAACTAGGCATAGAATTTAAAACATCAAGTTTCCCGACCCGAACCACCTTCCCTTCTTTGTTGGTCCATGGTTTCGTTGTAAAATACCGGTAAGCTATTTCCGGCATTTTCTCATTTTTAAATGGATTTTTCATTGAAGAACCCACATGATAAATCATCTCTTTCTGTCTACCAGCCTGAGCAGCCATTGATACTAGCATTGTATTAACAACCATATCCGCAGGTATCTGATACATCAAAAACGTCAAACATATCAAATAAAAACAACGTCACTAATATATTTATGAAGTTTCATTATGTGGTGACTATCATATTATACAGAAAATTTCACATATATATAGGAAGATGAGAGTAGGTACCACATCCGATGTAGCGTTAAGATCACCAAGAAAACATGTGAGTTTGCCTGTACCGTATCCAACAGCTAGACTATCAATTGTCCTATACATAAAATAGTCGTTACTTCAATTCATTGTTATGAAAGACTTATATTAACCAATTAATTTTTGTTTTTGGATTTTACCTAATGCCCTCGGTCCAACCGGGGAATGGTTCTTTGAAAGTGCTGGTAATAATTGAAGGACGAATTATCACGACCGACATATTCTCCCTGTTTGCCCCTACTATCATTTCCCCCATTGCTTTCGTAAACACGTACGTGTTTGGCCATCCGTACATCTTTGCCCTATTTGATATTACCGAAGATTTAGAATTTTATTAGACGATAAGGTAACAAATCAATATTCTCAAATACTATATCATGCTCTCATATTTATTTAGGAATTCATATTATTGTATTTTCTTCATGGAAATATCAAAAAGATGACAAATATTGGTCATATGTTTTAAATTTTATATTTTGGTTGCGATGTTTCATCTTGTGTTCCTTGAAATGTGAAACATAATTTTTTAGCAAATTTGCGAAAGATTTTATATATTTTTGAAAGCTTTTACAATGATTTTTTTTTTGTTAAAGTAGGTTTACAAGTTTTCAAATTTGTAATAAGTTTTCGTAAAGTTTCATACAGTATCAAAAAGTTTTTAAGTCATTAATTTAATGTTTATAACATATATTGTTTCGAAATATCTTTTGGTAGTATAAAATATGTTTTCAATATAACGAAATTTTAAATTTTCATAACATTCACAAATTCTTTTTGGTAAAAAGATTGTTCATAATTTTTTTCATTGGCCAATATATAAAAATATATGATACCCGTTTTTCAGGTGTACTATTGTCCCCCTCCCAAATTATCAATTTTGTTTTAAAATAATTGTTATGAACCATAATCCTCCTCAAGTTTATTTTCAAAATAGTATGGTAACAAAACTAAAGTGTAAATACTAAATAGGGATCACCTTCTAAGTCCGTAATCCTTCATGGCTTGTGTGATGGTCTCGGGCAAAGCTCCGGTTGCTTGAAGGTTGCTAAGTTTCTCATTAACCAACTTCTGCTCTTGATTGATATCTAGGCCGATGGCTCCGTTTAACGTCTCACCCATACGGTATGGCGTTTCCATTACCAATCCCGATTTTTCACCACATACATAAGCTATATATATACATAATAATGTTATTAGAAAATTAAATTATGGATCAGATTTGATTTAGAATATTTTTTCAATATCTGGTCAAGTTGAAAACTTGTGCCAAATTTTGCTCGGTTTGGATTTGGACTTTAAAATCATGAATTAAAAAGCCGAAATAAAACTGAAATTTATTAGACTATTCGGTTTTAAACAGACAAGAACATGAACGATAAATGCTAAAAGATTGTCTCAAAAGTGTTGGAAAGTTGTCAAGAAAATGAAGTTTGCTGGACGTATATACTTCATTTGCGATCTAATAACACACGAAGTATTTGTCAATTCACTTAAACAAACAAAAAAAAAAGAATTCTTTGTCAATTTTGTGTATATATATACCTGTCGACACATGAACAAAGACTTTGACCTTAGCACATCTCTTGGCAAAGTTTAGGGCATTGGCAGCACCCAATGTGTTGATCCCTAGTGCTACATCATATCTGTGATTGATTAACATGCATATCTTAAAGTTTGACATTGTTAGAAAATTCAAATCTGATTTTTTTTTTGTAAGTTTTGAAAAAGAAAACATATGATAAATGATATGAGGATGATGCTGATTGGATTTTGTTTTTTCAAGTTCTGATAAGAAAATCTATAAATGATATGAACCAATTTATTGATGCTGATTGGGTTTGAATTATTAGAACTCCATAAATTATGATAGACACCATATTAAATAATGAACAGATACTATCTATATAGAAGGCAAAATATTAAATTCGGAATTGATTGATAACGTTTATATTGGTTTCACAATAATATTAGAATTCCTTACTAAGCGTTTCTTAAATCATTTTAATAAGCGACCTAATATCAATCGTTAACTACAACATCTTTTAGCGTCGGTGATATATAGTCAAAATTTATTTCATATATAGTAATAACAAAAAATTGAATGTTATAATCAATATTTTTACCTTTCATCAAAATTAGTAGTTGCAGCTAAATTAATAATGGCATCAAGTTGGTGGACCATCTGATGTTCCAACTCGGGGTCTATATGATGAAGACCCAAATCGTCAAGGCCAATGTCTCCATTCACAATAGTAATTTTCTCCAATATGAGATTTAGATTTGGGCCATATTTTTCCTTCACAACCTTGAACAGGTCCTTTCCCAAAATCTGTAGACATTTGGAACAATTCATGGGTTATAACAATTTTGGAAAAAGTTGTTTAATGTTAATGTAAAATTTGAATAAGAACATGTTTGATAAAGTTTATCAACAAAAACAATATTTTTGATATATATACGCTTTTCCCGGGAATTTATAATAAAAAAGCATAATATTGCAGTTTTGTTTGAATATGATTTTAGAATAACATACATTGTGAATGTTTAGATGACTTCAGACAACATACATTGTGTTAATTTGCGGACAAAAATAATTACATCTTTCAGACAACATACATTGTGAATTAATTTGCTTATATCAATAACATGACTACCATATTTACATTTTGAATAAATTTTGTTTTTAAAAATGCTTCAGAAAATATAATATTAATTAAAATTTTAAAATACCATACAATTTTGATGTAAGAAAAAATCATAAATATAATTATGAGGTGGATTATTTGTTTTTTTTTTTCCACTGAGATAAATTGATATGAGAGATAAAGAGATACAAAGTTGCAGTTCGAAAACGGAAACGAGAATTAAACAAACCAATAGAAACAGAGATAAACCAAAGAAGAGTTAACGGATTATTTGTTTTTTAACCTGAAAAATCTTAAACCCAAATTTATATTTTACTAGTAGTTACCCCGTGCTACGCACGGGTTTTGTTTACAATTTTTGTTGGATTTTTGGTATTTTGTGATTTTTTTTATTGACATCTTCAGTTTGGATTTTTTTTTTTTAATATTGTAAATAGTGTACGTAGAAGGAGTTAACTCATATGAGAATGTATAACAATGCATATAATTTAAGACTTATATTTATTGAATATTAAAATGTTTAAAATCATTATGTTTTATTGAATAACAAAATGTATTAAAGCTTAGACTAATTGTGTTCTACAAATAGGACATGTTGTTCTGTGACGTAACCAATTTGTTATACATTCATGGTGAAATTTGTGATTGCATATCAGAGTGTTTATGCTTTCTTCTCCATGTAGATCGTCAAGACATATTGAACATTCACCATCATCTTCTTCTGTGGCTTGGGTTTGCGCCATTTCTAGCTCTCCTATTACCACTTCGACATCTAGTCTTGATGTCGCATTTGGGTTGTTATCTTCGATTTCCAAAAACACTTCGAGTGTTTGTGTGTTGTCCGTTCCAACTAATAGAATAGCTGAGTGTATAAATTCCGTCAAATTATTGATTAAAGTACCTGATGTTGCTTCGTCGATATCATGGAAGGTAAGATAGAAGCTGGTTATCTCTTTGAAATGATTATCACTTGGATGTAGTATTTGGTCGTTTGAGAACGGGATTGTATAGCTGATGTTGTTTTCTCCTCGATGTGGTCTCCTAAGTTTGAGATGGAGCTGGTTGGCGGGATGCGTTGCTATTGAACTCGAGTCATAGTACGTTGCATATAGTATATAATCCATTGGATTTGTTTTTGATGCACTAACAATAGTGTTTTTGAAACTTTGATGTGTAAGTTATGATTTTGTTATTGATATTTATAGCCTTTTGTAATGTATATTTGTCTTTTTGTTTTTTTTTTGATATTGTATTTATTTGCTATTTAATTTCCATAATGATTTGTTTGTAGCCGTTGAGAGTTGTTTTTTTTTTTGTAACATATGAGTACTTTATTGACATTATTGTGTATTTAATTGTTAATATTTTTTTTCCTATCAGTTAACGTAAACTTTGCCTAAGACGATGGCATCTGCGCTTCATTTGTATGATACCTGTCCTCCCATTACTTTACGTGACGTAAACTTTGTGTGAAAATATTTGGGCTAAATAAACATCAAAATGGGCTCATCTGTACCGAAGCCCCTACGTCTACTAATAATAATTAGCTTAACATTCACTTTTCTTTTACTCCGACGCCGCTCCCTTTGTTATTATAGTAACGTTTTTCCATCAGGCATTATTCACATATTTTTTTCTCATTAATTTCACATAATATCTATTTATTTTTTGTCCGTTCATTCTGTCCGTCAAATGATTACGTTAACTAATACGTATTAATCAAATGATATTGGCTTTTATGGGTTTTGACTTTTCGTTTCATATTGGACCCAAATTTTTTTAATGTGTTTCATTTGTGTCTTTACTATTGTTGACCCCAAATTGTTGACTTGATATTATTGTTGAGTAGTTAATGTCTTTATATTTGACTGTCCCTTTTTATCCTTAAAATTGTAACAACAATACATATATAATATTGTATACTGTATAACTTCTATATATATCCTCTCAACGTCGTTTACTTTGTTATTAGCTACAAAGGTTTGCTTGGAAAATATGGTTACTGTCTCTGAGCTAAAACTCTCTTTTCATATACCGGAGAAACAATGGTATTTCAACGATGACGAAGGTGTTGAAGAATCTATGTTTTTAGCTTGGTTGAAATTGAATAGGAACAACTCATTTGCTAGAACACTCACGTATGCCGAAATTCCAAGTTTTTTTATTTGGAATAGAAGAGAGAAACAGTTTAAGGAAAGAAAAAGAGGATCCCAAATAGGAAGGATAATTCATGTTCCTCGTAATATGGAAGAATTATATTTTTTGAGAATCTTGCTTGGTATAGTGAGAGGTCCCACATGTGGTGAAGATTTGAGAATTTTCGAAGGTGTTGTTTACGGAACATATAAAGAAGCATGTTGGGCACGTGGTATATTTGAATAATAATTTGGTTCACATTTCAATTAAAGTAATAAATTATATTTGTAAGGAGATTGCATATTTCCCGTTTTATTATTTTAAAATGTAATGCAGTAATAATATTATTTCTTGTTATTTTTTATTTTTTTTTGCCTTTAATTTTTTTTCCCTTGAAATATTAATAGATCTGTATAACAATATCAAACGAACCTAATTATTACAATATGAACGTGTAATTTTTAAGTTGTTCTTTGTTTTGTATAATCATGATGGCTATGTTCATTGTCGCTGGCTTTGTTCACACTGGAGCGGGAGTAAGTTTAGCAACTTTTTTTTTCTTTTGAGGTTCTGTTTAAGTCCTTGACTTTGGTTTTGTTTGAAGATTGTATTCTCCTCGGGTATAATTGATTTCTTATTTTGGGCTTTAAGTTTTCGGGGATATTTAGTATTTTTGCCGGCTTATGTATTTGAACAATAGATATTTTTTTGCGATATTACGAAAAAAAGAAGAAAATTTCATTAGATGGTAAGACAGGAGAGGTTGTTCTCGAGTACTATGTTTAGCAATATGAAATTCATATTGTATTTATTTTAACTCAATTTTTTTTCCTTTTTAAAATTTAAGATCTTTGATTTACGGTTCTATGATTTTGGTCGATTTGTCCTGGTTTGTTGGTCTTAGTTAATTTTTTCTAAGGTTACTTGTGATGCCGGTTTTACTTTGCAAATAACGAACATGATTTTATGGGCCATTATGGGTGTGGCCCAATTTTAATGTTGTATTTCCCACGAGTCAATTACTTATCCACACAGTGATCGGTGGTCATTGAAGTCTTTCTCCGTTTGTTTAAAAATTGAAGCACTCTCAATTGTCTAGCTGGTTGGGTCACCTCCATCACTGTCGATTAAATTCATCTTGATCTGGGTTTTCTAAGGTAACACTTCTTTATTAGTTATTATATATTTTAATGGGTGTTTTTCCCCAGCGAGGCCATATGTGTACTTAACCTGTGTTGTATCTTTTTTTTCTCTTCTTTAGTAATTCCCTCTAATGTGTTTAAACGATTTCATATGTTGAAAAGAAATTTGGGTACTAATTTTTTGGATGTGTTCCTGTGGTGGTTGCCAATTGGAATTTTGGCTTTGTGACTTTGTTGTGTTTGCAATCATGTTTGGGATATAAAACTTGCAGCCACTGTTGTATGTATCCCCGTGCATATGTTTTTAAGGTTATTTTTTATATTTTTTTCCTCAGTCCTTTAATGTTTGAAACTCAATTATTTAAAGTTTTCCTTTCTATTGGATGTGTTTTTACTTCATTTTATTTTTTGGTTGTGTTTTACAATTGGGCTTATTGTTTATTCATTGTTATGTGTTTATTCTATTTATTTTAGCATCATTACAAAAACTACTGTTGAAATTCACTATTTCTTTCAGTAACTTATCTTTATATTTGCGGGTTTTGGATTTTTAATTAATCATGATTCGTCTTTCTTATCTTGTAGACCTATGATGAATCGTTTTCATTACTGCATTTTTCCTCCGAAATTGGTATTTTAACTTATCTGGTATTTATGATTTTGTTTATTTGTTGTATGAATTCAATTCCTTTAATTTTTTACGATGGTTAAATAGAGTCATAGTAACTTGAACATATAAATTTGTTAACCCAGTTCACGGCCGCAACCGCTACGTCTGGGGAGAGACCAACCTCTCAACATCCACTTAAAGATACCGGAAAACACCTCCGATGTGGTTTACACGGTTGCCTACGAAATACATTGTAATAAGTTTGTTGATGTAGTATGAATAAGAGAGCAAAATACCGAGTCATAGAAAAAACCTGAGAGTAGCTATCTTATTATTCTACATCTGTCTGTCATTTTGGAGTGTATTTTGGTGACCATACCTTAAGTTTTTGTTGTATTGCATCATCCATTTACTTGTATATCTGGTTGGAAAACTTTTCTCAAAATAACGATACAATGACATGCACAAATATTATTTAATGTGAAACTTGACTATGATAATAAAATGAGTATAAGGATACGATGTCAGTTGACCAAGTGTTAAAAGGATACTTTTATGTCCGTTGACGTCTTCTTGTGATCGTGATTGTCCTGTAATAATGTAAACTTTTAAAATGGGTAGCAGTTTGTTGTGATATGTATTTCAATGTGTTAGCATTAAATAACAGGTGTGATGGTAATTGTTTTAGAAAATGAACAGAGTTACGTTTGATTGTTTAGAAATACCTTTGCTTATGCTGAGTGGTAGACATTGTTGAATACCTCTTTGTAGACGATATTTTTAACTGTATGATCCTCCGTTGTGTCGTTTTCCAAATTTAGTATCTTAAGCCCTGCTGCTGAGGTGACTCTTGAAAGTGCTACGTACAATTGTCCGTGTGTGAAAACTGGTTTTGGAAGATATAATCCCACCCTTTTCAAACTCTGCCCCTGACTTTTATTTATTGTCATTGCGTAGCTAAGTCGCAAAGGAAATTGGCGTCGTTTTAATTTGAATGGCCATTTGGAATTGGCTGGAGATAGTATAATTCGTGGGATAACCACCTTGTTTCCTACACCTGTCCCAGTCAAGATTTCGGCCTCAATCACTCTATCTCCCATGTGAGTTACAATTAGCCTGGTACCATTGCAAAGACCTTCTTTTTGATTCATATTTCTCAGGAGCATAACTGGAGACCCTACCTTAATCGTCAAACAGTGATCTGGTAAGCCTGAAAATTTAAGAGAGTTCAAAAACTCGACAGGATATAATAGTTGATCTGTTTCAGTCGGATCTCCATCCATCTCAATAGTGTCCGAACTTAAGTAATCCTTTGATTCCCCAGGTACTTTTTCAAGCATCATCACGTTCAGATCATGAACTGTGTCATTCTTTGGAGTTAAGATAGCTCTCTTAGTTAGGTATTTTCGTTTGCTGTATTTTTCTGAGAACTCTGGGTAAACATCAGCAGCCAATTGTCGAAGTTGGTTTTCCCCAGCTGTAACCATTAACGTGCCATCAATTTTGATGTTATCTATGTCATCGTAAATATCCTCCTGTGTTTCTATACTCTGGGCATTTCCGTCCCCGACTTGAAGTATCCACTCTGCAAACTTTCTGTCATCCTCTTTCAATCTCATATTTTGAGATAATGTGTAGACAGTGCATGAATCCCAAAGGTATGAGCGATTTATTGAAGCTGACACTGTGTCTTGTCTACTTCCTCCATTTATAACTGGTAGTATTTGTCTGAAATCTCCACCGAGCAAAACTGTTTTTCCACCAAAGGGTTTATCGATTGCGGATGGATCGTCCAGAGATATGATATCTCGCATTGTTCGATCGAAGGCCTCAAATGCCAATCTATGAGTCATGGGTGCTTCATCCCATATTATTAAATGAGCCTTTTTCAACAATCCAGCTATCATCGATCTTGGTGTAATGTCACACATTGAATGGTCCTCTAGGGTAATTGGGATTTTGAATCTTGAGTGTGCTGTTCTACCTCCGGGAAGAAGCAATGCCGCTATGCCTGACGATGCCACCGGTACAACAATCTTCTTTTCTGATCTTAACTTTGATATGATTGTTGTATATAGATATGTTTTTCCT